GATAGATAGATAGATAGATAGATAGATAGATAGATAGATAGATAGATGTGTCAGAAATATTTTTTGAAGTGAATCTTTCCTTAAACCATGCCAGCTGCATTTTGATTCACTTCGTGGAGCAGTCTAGGAGCAATCCCAATGGGTAGTGGGCATTCAGTCCACAGGACCAGACTAAAACTAGCTGTAAAGCTTACAAGCTGTGCAAGTGTCAGATCTTCAGTGCTGGCTCTCAGTCTACAGATGCATTTATTCTGGTGCACAACATTTCCTAAGGCAGATGTGGCCTCTGCTGCCTTGGCATCTGTTGCTGCCTCTTCCCTCCCTCCCCTGTTTCCATATCTGGAATTTGGTTCACCTGCAACCTGAACCTAAGCCCCACCCATGTTCATCCTGCATCCAGCCCTGCTTGCATCCTGGATTTCTAGCTGGGTGCTCCCTTAAGCTGTGACAGAAGCTGATCCTGTGTCCACTTTGACTCTCAGAGCTTCTTGTGTTGTGTTACTGCCTGGATACTTTCCTTGTGAAGTAATTATCTGTTTATGGTCTTTCCCGTTATGTGCAGTGGCTGAATGTCATTCTTCCTCTTTGAAGCACTCCACACATTGCACCTGTCTAGCTATCTTCACACTAACCTCATTTTTTTTGTAAGCCACTTTTCACCAAGTGCACCATCTGACCATTTCATCAACTGCTGTTCCATCTTTTGTGTGTGGTAGTGTCACAGCTGAAGGATAGCAGTGTCTCTGCTTCAGAAAATTCTGAGAAATTTAAGAGTTTCCTTCTTCAGTAAATACACTGTATTTCCCTTCATTTGTACAGGAAGTACTATATATTTTTGGTTTTGCAAAACTACCTTGGGTTTTTTAAGTGGCCTTGTATGCAGCAAGTGTTCATATGCAGCTGTGTTAAGGGAAGTCCATACACATGTGCATGTGTGTTAAAATGGTGTTTCTAGCAGCTTCACTGGTAATGTAATTTCAGAAGTGGGATCTGTGCTTAAGAGCTAACATGTTTCAGTATCCTGCCACATTATTTAGACTTATTTTAATACAACACTTAATGTAATGGAAAAAACCTTGTCTCGCAGCTTTTACACTTGTAAACAAATGCTTCTGCATTGAATCTTGTTTTCTTTAAGAAGGTGATAAAAACTCAGCTGAGATATGGGAGAAATCCTTGGCCTTTCTGACCTACAAGGACTTCTAGAATTAGCTACTATTGATTCCATTTCTATCTGCCTGTGGTACAACCAGTACTCTGTGTATTACCCAGCCTGACAGCACCGAAGTCCAGTCGGATGTTAGGAGGAATTTCTTCACAGAAGGGCTGATTAAACATTGGAATGGGCTGCCCAGGAAGGTGTTGGAGTCACCCTCCCTGGAGGTGCTTCAGGAAAGGCTGGGTGTGGCACTCAGTGCCACGGGCTGGTTGACAGGGTTGTGTTTGGTCAAGGGTTGGACTCCATCTCAGAGGTCTTTTCCAGCCTTAATTGATTCTGTGATTCCGCAGTCCCGAGTTTTTTCCAGGTGACTCATTTCTGGCCACAAACTCCCTTTCTGCTGTTTAATTGCCATCTGTTTGCTAATGCCATTTCATGTCTGTGGTTTGTACGTTTTTCAGGGGCAGGGCTCTCTCCCTGGTAAACAAGAAGTGCCAGATTTATATGGTTGCTGGCAGTGTGTGTTCACTGTGCTGCAGGGGGCAAATTAGGACTGTACCAAAGCACACAATTGGAAATTTCTGGGAAGATAACCTTATATCTAAATCAGGCAATGAATATGCCTGCAGAATAGAAAATGGACTCTGGTGTCTGAGCTATTTAATTATTTTGGGGGGGGCTTTCTAAGTATATTTCTATTTTGGGTGTATGCTTGCAAATATAAATGCAAGAGTCTCCTCTCCCTGGTGAAAGCACACACACACACAAAACATGCAGTGTTCATTACTTAACTACTTATCAAGGAAGGTTTTTTGTTTGTTTGTTTTGCTAATGAAACGGGAAGAATGCTCCAAAAATACTTAACACAGTAATTGAATCAGAGGAAAATCAAAGGGGTCATCTGTTGCCGTGTCTGTTTTAGCTCTCTGTTCAGGATATGTTTCAAGATGGGTTTGTTTGTTGGGTGTTTTAGCAACATCTGTTCCAACTCTTGTTCTCTGTGTGTGTGTGTGTGTGGAGGGAGGATGTTTAAGGTCTGTTAAGCCATTTGTTCAAACTGGCTTTGCAGCAGCATCAAAGAAATTTGAAAGGCTGCAGCAGCTTTTAAGGGGGAAAAACGTCCAAAGAAATAGAAAGCAAATATGCCACGCTTAGATTTTTGAGAGATGTTTAATTAATGCTCATGAGGATTTTTCACTTTCAAATAACCTCTAAGGAAAAAGGTCATTAATATAAAAGAAGTAAATAATTTTACTGAAGGTTATTGAAAAAAATTCCCAACTTTCTGTAGTGTGCTAAAGCTTAGTTAAATGCAATTTTAAAGAAAAAATATTAACTTGAAATTACTGAATATTGACCTGTTAATGACAGCTTGTTATTAACAGTTGTTACTTCCTGGCCATGCTGGGGATGGTGTTTGATGGTATTTGAAGAAGAGATATGCAAAAAAAGAGGAGTTTTAGGTATTCTTTAAGGAGACCTTAGTGTTAAAGGCTATCCAAGAGGGATCAGACATGTTGTGATGGAAGACCATGTGGATATTTCTCGTAAGTTGGTCTTTTGTGAATTCTTTTCTGAGTGTTTTTAACAGTAGAAAGTTTGATACATGTTGCCTCAAGTGTGTTACTTCATTCAGTTCTTAGTATTTTGCTTCTGAAGCTATGGATTTCTTTTTTATTTACCTGATTTTTATTTTTTTTAATGGCATCTGGATTTAGTTACTGGATGCTGCCTCACCAGTGCAAAGGAGGAAGTACAGAATTTGGACTAATCTAAATGTTCTGCTGTAGGAAGATCAAAATATACATGAATTACTGTTTTAGTCTTGTCTGCTGAGTGTACAGACTGTTTGTGTAGCAGATGATTCATAGCTTTGCTGATACCTCTGTGGGGTTTTGTGTTTTGATTTGCATCTTAAAAGCTTAATTAAAAAAAAAATTAAAATCTACAAACCGGTCCAGCAGAGTTGCATAGAAATATGTAAGAATACAGATGGACAGAAGCTTTTTCACTGCAGCCTATAGATGAACAACTTCTGCACAAATCTATAAGCTTAATTTAAAAAGTATATTCCTCTAGATTGACAGGATTTTATATTGTTTATGTTATTTTTATTGTTGCAGACTTGCGAACATTTGTTCTTGATGCCACTCTTTTCTAGCACTTTTGAAGCCTGTGATAATTAATTATGCCTTCTGTAATAGATAAGTGGCTTGGAAGTTATTGATACTAGTCTTAAAATAATCTTTTTCCTTTTCTGTCTTTTTCCAAAATTAGATAATATACCTGAGAGAATCCCCAGAAGATGTGTACAGGCTTATATTGGCAGGAAGTGTTTCATATCTTCCTTTCAGGTAAATAACAAGCTGACAGAGCCCTCTGTGCCTTGATATTTTGAAGAAGAATGTAGCATTTTTCAGTACTACTTTGTGTTGGGGTTTCTTTTTTCATGGGGCACGTTCCCTTTCTGGACTTTAAGTACTCAGAGAGTCAGGGTGTCAGGAGCTGGTGCTGAACTGTGATGGAGCCACACTGCTTTGTGTGCACTCTCCTTGAGCTTTTTGATCTACATTGCTTCTCATTTAGCAGTCTGATTTTTGTGCCAGTAGTTGATAGTTGATCAGAATATCTGTCATTCCCCACAAATGGCTTGTAACACTCAATAGCATCATCATGGCCAGGCTTTGTGAACGGAGATTTGGGAAGGGCTCTACCCATGTTTGTTACAAACACGCTGGTGGCTAAAAAGGCCAATACGAGACAGACACGTCTGATTGCAAAAGGCACAGCAGAAAGACTCCTTAGTTGGTAAATTCTGCAGGGCTCGATTCTTTCTGCGTTGTCTTTTCTCCTCAAGGGTGATCCTGGTGCGTTCTCAAAGGCATCAGCAGCATTATAGATGGTGTGTCTCCAGACCTCCCCATTGGAGGCCAGAGTAGACCAGTTCTGTTGATCAATATGGCCAAGGCTGAGATGTTGTTTCAGGGAGTCCTTGTATCTCCTCTTTGGGGCTCCTCTCTTGCGGCAGCCGGTGGCAAGTTCACCATAAAGCAGGATCTTAGGGAGGGGGTGGTTGGTCCTTCGTCCTGGAGACGTGCCCTGCCCAGCACAGCTGTGTTCTCAGCAACATGGCCTCAATACTTGTGATTGCTGCCTGTTCAAGAACAGATGTGTTGGTCACATAATCTGCCCAGTGGATGTTTAGGATTGTACGGAGACAGCGTTGATGGAGCGTTCTGGGAGTCGCAGGTGGTGGCGGTAGATGAGCCATGATTCAGATCCATATAAGAGAGCAGACAGCACTATGGCTCTGGAAACACTGAGCTTGTACTTTTCTTCAAGTGTTTATTTCACCAAACTCTTTAAGGAGCTTTCCGAAGGCACTGTATGCCTTTGCTAACCTGTTGTCTATCTCCCCGTCAATCTCACCATCCGAGGAGATGAGGCTGCCTAGGGAATTAAACTGCTGGACTGATTTGAGCTCTGATTGGCCAATGGTGATGTGGGGATGATGGAAGACTTCCTGAGGTGCAGGTTGATGGAGAACTTGTGTCTTCTTTAAGCTGACTTCCAGCCCAAAGAGCTCAGCAGGCTCAGCAAAGCAGGATGTTAAACGCTGCAGGATCCAGGGGCAGCTCTGGGCAACCTGTGACAGGGCCTCCCCACCCTCACAGGCTAAGCAGCACACTTCATGCACAAAGCAGCATCTGCAGGTTGCTGTGCTTCCAACAAGTGGGGAGTTGCCATCAGTGCATCCAAGGAACCTCTTGGATTGGCTGTGCCCTGCTGTGCTACCCCTTCAACAGATACCAGAGTGGTTGAAGTTCCCCGTGAGGATCAGGGCCTGGGAATGTGAGGCTGCTCCTGTCTGTCTGTGTGTCTGTCCAGGGCTTTGTCCATTTGTTCTTCCTCGTCAGATGGTCTAACAGACACCCACTACAATGTCACCTTTGTGTGTCTTTTCTTCTGCCTGAATGGGGTTCTGCTATTTCCTTTTCCTGCTGATTTCTGCCCCACTCACCTTTCACACTGATTCATAAGGAAGGAAAGGCTAGAAAAAAATTTTAGAGGCAGCCATCCAGGTACTTCAAAAGTTCTTCCTCCTGTCAGTTAAAATGGAACATAACACATTTTTTACTTATTAGAAACATCAGCAATTCTCTGTTGATAAGGGCTGTGTGGTCTCAAAAGATGATGTTCTGCCAAGACATAATATTCTCTGATGTAGATTCAGTTTAATTTATCTATTTACTTGACTAAAGTATTCCTGTAGAAAGCTTACTCTGCAGTGCTTATGGAATCTAATAAAGGTCACTTAAAAAGAATATGCCATTCCTGGATCAACAGAATTTAAAACATTGTTGTTGAAAGAAGGGATTTTAATGAAACTAGTTTCTCCTCTTGTTTAAACATAAACTATTTATGCATCTTAAGGGAAGTGTTTTATTGTATCTACACCAATGTTTATCTGGACAGTTTCAGTAAGAAGATGCTGTTCACGTATACAAAGAGTGCATGTGCACAGTCCCTTTCTTCTTTTAAATGGAGCAGTATATTAAAATCCTACTTTTTTGAAAGTATGCTTCAGAGGAAAATATTCAAAGAATGTGTGTTAGAATATGATACTTATTTAGGAATTAGCTTTTGCCATAAGGAGTTTGTGTTGTCTGTTGTTTGTTGATGAATACCAAAATATGCCAGTTTTGCTATTCATGTCAGAAATAGAATGTCAGCTTTACCAAAACTGTAACTGGAGTAATCTTGCTGTTGCATCTGTTAACATAACTTATTTTATATTTTGTTATTGTTGTAAGATGCAAGGTGGGTAATGAGGTAATCATTTGACATAATTATTTCACAGTAATTACCTTGAAGCAGTTTTTTAAAGGTGTTTTAGAGAAGTATCTTCAACTGGTTTCACTTGGATTAAAATGGAATAATTACTGGTTTGGTCATCATATCTTATAGGGATGCTTCCTTTGGTACTTGCAGTTTTCATCTGACATTGCTGGACTGTTTTCATGCAATAAACAAGGTCAGTGAACTCATATTTTTCACGTTTCAAAAAGTTAGCTAAGTATTGCCCATTAGAAAAAGAATGTTTAGGAATCTAGGATCCAATTAGAGCTGTGAAGGTTTCCTGATTGTTGCCTGGTTTATTAGGCATTGTAACAAAACTGGATACAGCATCCGTAGAAGTCAAGGGATACCTTATATAATCAACTAGTGAAGGTTTCAAAGTGGGAATTTTGAGATTTATTTTTGTAATCGTTCAGGACAGTAATTCACACCTCTAATCCCTCAGAGTTGCGTTTTAGGTTTATTATTATGTGCCCCTGCTCCCCTGGTGTTAAGTTTTTGGCTGAATATAGCCCTTGGAAGTGGTTTTGAATTGGTTAGTCACACACTTCAGGCGTTTGCAGCACATGCTAATGATTTCAAGTTTTGCTTTAGTAATGCAAATAGAACAAATGTCAGGAGGTAGGTGCTTATTTTCTCTACAAATTGTCATAATCTAGTGTTTTATGGCAATACAGTGGTGCAGTAACATATTGAAGGACAGGAGAATTTAAACACATTCTTTTTAGTCTGTAGAGAAGAGTAGTGAAATGGGAAATTCTGCAGCTCTCCACCCTACTACTGTCTTTTGTATTGTGGATATCTCTGCCAAATGCTAGTGTTTTCACTGATTAAGTCAACTTCTTGCAGATTTGTGATTTTCAGCTTTTTTGGATGTTTTGAAGGCTGCTTGTTTGCCAAGAGTGGTGCATTGCTATTCTTGCTGGAACAGCAAGGAAAACTACAGCAGATTACACAATGGAAGAGAAAACTAGACTGTATGATATCAAACACCTGGAGCTTTGGCATTATCTGTATTTGTGCCTCCTGATTTAACAAGTGGATAAACTATCAGTTACCCAAATTATTACGTTTTTTTTTTTACTTTAGAATGTACTCCTAACTTCAACAGATATTTTTTGCCAGTTATTTCCCTTTTTTTTTCTTTAAATTTTGTGCACCTAGCATTAATAAAAAGGCTGAATGCTTCAGTAATCTGGGATTTTGTAGTGATTGATTGAAAAAAGAAAAAAATTGATTTATTCATGTTCACTTGTATTGAAATTTACAAATCTGTTTTGAGCCAAGACTGAGTTGACCTGTATTTCTTCAATCATATGAAGAAATCTCTTTGAAAGAATAGTATGGGTATTAAGGGACTTTCAGTAACCAAAAAGTGTGATAAACTGTCCTCTTTGAAGAGGCATTTTTGTTAAAAGCTGTGTTCTGAATTTTAGGCTTTGCAGTATGGTTTCCTGGATTTTAGTACGTTTGATGTAAATGAATATGAGCATTATGAAGTAAGTGTTCAGTATGAGTCTTTTGATTTGTTTGCTGTTACTAATGCTGAAGTGATTGTTTATAATTTGTGCTATTTTTTTGTAGTATTAAGTTCTGTTTTATCTCTTTAAACTATGATGTAAATTCTGATAGTTAAATAAAAGTGCATGGTCAGAGAGAATATTAAAATTCAGATTTAAGCATAATTGGGCTCAATCATGGAGGAAAGCAGAAACCAAAATGGAAGTAAATACTTTTTGCTGTTATTAAACCCTGGAAGTTGATCAGGAGTGTGAATTTGGACACCTTTTAGAGGTCACTCATATTCTTGAGCAGTCTTGATGAAAAACTGGAGGGCATACAAGCCTGAGTCTAACTGAATGCTGGAGAACAAAGTATCTATCTGTGAACACAGGGCAAAAGTATAGTAAAATTCTTTGAGGTAAAGAAGGAAACAGGGCTGGGAAACCCCGAGTGCACAAAGTTCCCTTTGGGGCTTAGGAAAGGATTGTGACAATGAAGGACTGCAGCTCTTGACTATATGAAGTGTCAGAAATGCAAAGCTACCAGTTACCTGTAAAGAAGAAATTGAGTGTTCTTACGACCTAAAAAAATCATTATTTAAATTGTGACCAATAATTTAGAAACCTATGCAAAATTAAAAAATTGGAAGTTGCCCTTCGTCTGAAGGGCACGAGTTGGACTGTTCTAAAACCCTGGTTTAGAAAGATGAGGACACAGGCAGGAAAAGTGAGGTTGAGAGCATCTGCCCATCCTCATGATGAAAAAGAGAGCAGGCAACTAACATAACTTCCTTTGGCAAAAAATTGTGCATCAATTCTATCTAGCATGTGTTTTGAAACAATAAGGAAAAGGCTGAAAATACAGGGATAATGATAAACCAAGCATTTTCTCTTGACAGAGAGCAGAAAATGGAGATTTTAACTGGATAATACCAAACAAATTCATTGCCTTCAGTGGACCTCATTCAAGGAGTAAAATTGAAAATGGTATGCTTAAAAAAGGAGGTGGGGGACACAAGCCCACTGCTTTCTTAGTTGATTGTTATCAGTAAGAACAAGCTTTGAAAATTGTTCCTCAAACAGTGTGTTTTTTCCTTGGCTCTTTTCCTTTTATAAGACCTCTGGCAGTAACATTGTAATGCTTGGTTTAATTGTATCTGACCTAGGCGATTCTGTTAGAATTCCATTTTCGGTCAGTCCGTTTCTTTGTGTTGAACATGAGTTCTCTTTTGAGAGTGTTTTCATCTCTTGTTTTTTTTAGTCTTTGTTTATTTCTGCAGTTTGAGCCTCACTCACTTCCTTTTCTTTTTTTTTTTCCCCCCCCTTCTTTTCTCAACTAGGCTATCCCCACCATGCTCCAGAGGCTTATTTCCCATACTTCAGGCAGCACAAGGTCACCACCATAATACGCCTCAACAAAAAACTGTACGATGCCAAACGATTCACAGATGCTGGATTTGAGCATTTTGACCTCTTCTTTGCTGATGGGAGCACACCCAGTGATACTATAGTTAAAACATTTCTAAACATTTGTGAGAATGCTGAAGGTGTTATAGCTGTTCACTGCAAAGGTACAGTGTGAAAACCAATTTGTATTACAAGTGATGCCTCTAGTTACTGTTCCTGAGGTATTTTGTAATTCTGTAATTCCTGTAATTCCATTTTATCTAGTTAATAACATCTCTGCCAAACTGCAACTACTCCATACCAATTATTTCCATACAAATTATTTTCCATTCGAATTATTTGTATATGGTTCTGTTCAATACTTCATCTTCTATTTTTTTTTTGGAGTTCCAGAAAAATCTTCCCAAAAATGAGGATGGAGAAAGTGAGCTTTCCAACATTAACAGCTCTTTCTGCTGGAGAGTGTTAGCACTTCCAAAGGATGCTTTTGAGCAGGAATTTGAACTCCTGGCAAGGTTGTTAGGTCTTTCTGAAAACACATGATTAAGTATACAAATCATAAACTTTTGAAAATATCAGTGCAGCTTTTTGAGGAGATTCCTCAAAAAATATGGGGAAAAATCATCATCCCTCATTACCTCTCTGTACTATTGGAGATGCTCTGAATATCTGTTCCTCCAGAGCTGGACTGCCAGTTTTTTCAGAGCATGCCCAGTGTAATGATGCAGTTTTCTGTGATTATAAAGGCAGGATGTTTCCCTTCCCACACCATCCTTAATAGTCTTATCAAACATTTCTTCTCCACACCTTTGCCTCAGTAGCATACCTGATAATGCTGTTATTGAAGGAGAAGGGCCTTTTCTTAACCTGTCTGCTTTGGACCTGCAAAGACTACATTTTTGCTCCTGGATCTGCCATCCATTTGCTGCATTTAACAGAGTTATAACTGGGAAGTGAAAGACTTGTTAAAACCAGCATTTTGACTATTGGCATAAAAGTGCACACTCTTATTCCTCACTGAGGTGATAAATTCAGGTATATCACTTAGTTGGTTATGCCAGAATATTGAGTATCAGTGGTACAAGCACTTTGTTTTCATTCAAATTAAGATATTCTTTGAGATATGTCTTACTAATGGTGTCCAGGCTGGCTTTATGTTCCTCAGCCTGCTCTTGAGAAAGAGCAGAATGCTGCAGCCTGTTCTTGGAGCTGCACAAGTCATGGAAAGTGCTGTGTGGTTGTCTTGGCTCTTGGGTTGTACAAAAGATTTTCCAGTGGTGTTGGTCAGTCAGTTGGGTGTTAAATGAGAGAAGGTGGTGCATGATTTGACATTTAGAGCAAGTGATTGGGAAGAGGCACCACTTAGCTGGAGCTGTCCTCCTTTCCTTCTCATGTTTCCCAAGGTAAACAAAACTGGTTTGAGGGCCACTGCAAAGAAGGTTTGTCGTTCTGGAGTACTTTTTGCCTGTACCAGCTGGCACCCCAGACCTGCTCATTGCAAAATTTGTCTTTTTGGAACTCTTTTGGAGCTCTTTTGGGAGCTAAGGAGATTAATTAGAGGAGGGACTGGAAGAGCAGCTGGTTTCAGTGCAGTGTATGATCTGTTTGCTGTGAGAATTCTGAAAAAAAGAAAAAAGCCAGCTGTTTTATCCCATGCATAAAAACATCCTCATACCTACACACATACGTATTCATAGATAGGTAAATAAAGACAGACTTATGGATATTTGTAAGGTTGCTGGCTTTGGAATGTTACCTCCCTTAAAAAACATGAACAGTGTGTTGGTAGCCTTGTACATGAAAAAAATATCAAAGGGTGAGTTGCACTTAACCAAGTTTGATCAGTTAAGGGTTTGTTTAATAAACTAGGCAAGGAACAAGTAATGTCTGCAGTTACAGCAAGTTCCAGATGAAGAGGGGTGTATAAGAGAAGCCTTTCTTTTATCTTACACAGCTGGTCTTGGAAGAACTGGCACACTTATTGCCTGTTATATCATGAAGCATTATCGGATGACAGCTGCTGAAACCATTGCCTGGATTAGAATAAACAGGCCTGGTTCTGTCATTGGACCACAGCAACATTTCCTGATGGAGTAAGTCAATTAACTGGAAATTATTTCCAAAAATAAATCTAGATGTCTTCTTCTTCTTCTTCTGTTGTGCACTTAATAATCTTCAGTGTTAATTTGTTTTGTTTTGGGCCTTTTTTTCCATGTTATGATAGCAAACAGGCAGAGCTTTGGACAGAAGGGGATATTTTCCGTGCAAAGTTGAAAGGAAACCATAAAATTGCTGTAACAAGAATTCTGTCAGGAGTAGATGATATTTCAATTAATAACACGAGAAACAGGAGAAGCATCCAAAAGGACATTGAACTGGTAACCATCCAAATATTGTGCTCTTGTAAAAGCTGGAACTTGTTGAGAATCTCTCAGGTTCTGAACAAACCTGTGGGTACACAGTGAAACAATGTTAATGAGATTCTATTTCTGTTTGCCCTTTTTGTATAAAGGGATATGGGGGGGGAAAAAGTATGGACAGCAACTATGAAAAATGAAGTTCAGAACACAGGTGAATTAGGAACATCATTATCATGCTTTAGTAATTAGGTAAATAATAGACCAAAAAAGTACTCGCAATCTGCAATCAAAACCACTGTGATTCCATTTTGGATTGTCTGGTGCTTCATTCTGTGTGTTTAAAGGAAAGGGATGAAAGGGTTTTTTTTACTCTTTTTAGTTTCCAAGTAGTTGAAACTTCTGTAATACCTAATACCTTTTATAATACCTTTTATAATACCTTTTGAAAAAGACTGTACTGCTGTTTTAAAAAGGCAAGTGAAGGAGGGAAGTGCTGTATTGTTCTGTACCTAAGCAAGGATTTGACAGTATATTATTTCCACTGTTTAAAAGTAGACAATATTCTGATGCATGTAATTCATGACACCACTTAATGGTTTACAGCTTCAAAAGCAGCAAACAGGAAACTGGAAGGAACAGAACTGTATTTATGCAAGTGAATTTCCTTTGGCTTTTTTTCCTGTTGGGATAATTCTAATTTTAAGAGTTAAGATAAGGTTAATTCTTAAATATCGAGGTGCCTGTGTTTTAATCTTGGTTTATCCCTTCCCCTCCCCATCCATTATCCAGTACAGTGATGATGATGAAACAAACTGTTTAACACAAGGGGATAAACTTCGTGCTCTGAAAAGCAGGAGGCAAGCAAAAGCACCAGCTTCATCTCCATTGGCGTAAGTCACTTTAAATGTTTAAATGTTTAAAATGCCAGAAACACTTTGATCCTCTTCTTTATGTGTGTGTTTGTTGCCAGGGCTGCTTTTACTCCCTCAGAACAAACCCAGGGCTCACCGTTCCTCCCAAGGCTTGGTGCTGAGGAGAGCTTGGTTAAAGAACTGCAGGACTGAATTCCTGGCTCTCTGCATACTTTACAAGCTCCCACAGTATTTCTGAATGCTTTACTTTTAGTTTAGTCACAAACATTCTCTTGTCTTTGCTGTAGTAGTGTAAAAATGGAAGAATGTGATTCTGTGTGGTTGATTGGATCAAATAAGGTACGTGCTGGTGTTTGAGGTAAAGTCAGCCACCCAAAAAAGAGTTGAAAGAAGGATTTTTAGCTTCCCTTAAGCTTTCTCTTCCTTGGAGAGGAACTTTCCCTAAATCCTGTGGGCCTCTGGAAGGCAGAGTAGCACTGTTTCAGTAAACCAATTCAAAAGAAGTGCATTTCTGTCAGGGAACCTGGCATGGTAGTCTCTTTATTGTAGACAAGACCTGGAACACCACCTGTAAAAGGAAGTTTGCATCTGTTGTAGCTTGTAGCAACTGTAGGTAGAAAAACTTTTAAACAAACTGCAAGATAATGCAAGGCTTGCAAGACATAGCTGGATCTCATTTGATTGCTAGGAAAGGAATGGTGACCTCTATCTGTCAGATATTTGGAATTGAGACAGCACCAGAGTCACAGACCACAGTCAGCTTGGTTTGTGTTGTGCTGTCCTTCTGTAGGGGTTGATGCTGCTACCTGCTGGTGTTTTTTTTTTCCTTCTTTCTTGTTCTTCTTTTTGAAGATCACCAGTGTCATCAGACTTGTAGAAAAAGTGAGAGGTACGTAGTAAGATGTGCTGAAGCCAAAGGAGTATTTCCTTGGAAACTTTCACACGTTGCTACGTGTGATTCCTGCTTTTGTTTTAAAATACTCTCTTTTGTTCGTGCTCATCATTTACACAGGTGATCATATAAGAAATAACACGTTTGGAACAAAGCCTGTACCCAGCTGGCACTTTAAAAAAAACACAAAACTCAGCACCTCAGTTACCTCAAATAACACAGGGAAAAACAGCTACCTTCCACATTGGTTTCTAAGGCACATAAGTGCCTTAGTTGCCACTTCATAATATTTTTTTTCATGAAAGGTACTTAAAGTTACGTCATTAAGGTTGTGAAAGATCTTATTTATCATTTGTTCCATAGAGTGAATGTAGGCTGTGTGATAACCTGTTCAGAGCCATTGTCTTTATATGCAGAAAACCCATCCACTATTAAAATATTATTCCATTCATGACACGTTCTGCAACGTGGCTGCTCTAATTAAAACTGGTTAGCTTGTACTTGTGTAGAATTACAATAATTGCCCTAGAGCTCACAGCTGGTTTTTATGGTGTGCATCGGGGCTCAGGGAATTTGAATTTACCTCTGCCTCTTCCCCTGAGTTATTTGTGTGGTTTGCAACTTGTACTCAAATAATTTGGTGAAAAATGCATGTGTAACTTCAGATATTCTTTGTGATGCTATTGTTTTATCTCTAGGAATATTTGTCTGCCTTACATGGGTCCGAGGTTTTTCCTATTAGAAGAGGTGTCAGTCTCTTTCCTTTAAAGTTCAGACTGTTAAAAATAACTAGCCTTGCAGTGAATTTGATTACTTTTATGCAAACAAACAAACAGAAGCTTCTAAATCTCCTATATAGTTTTACTTCAGAGCAGAAAAAAAAAAAAGGAGGAGGGCAAAATAGGAGTACCAGAGGCTGGGACAGTTACAGTCTTTGAAAACTAGAGGCATTACTTGCACTTAAGTCACAGGGGACTTATGTAGAATGTTTGTTGAAGTTGGTTGTATAAACTCTTTCTGCTTGGATGAATGGGTACTTTGTATATGCTGTGATTGGCAATATTCTGCACCTTTTGGCAAAGGATTATGAGTTGGCTTCTGCTTCTTTGGACACAGGAGGGTGATACATGCCATCATCTGGATGTTTACACAAATTGTTTGTTTCTGCAAACTTATCTGGCCCTGATCTAATGTTTTAGTATTAAAATGTGTGATTGTGAAGTAGGATGTATGAATACAGGTTGAGCAAACTGAGCAAGTGATCAGAGATGTATTGCCCCTGCATGCACTTATGTTCAAGAGTGATACAGACTCCCTTTGGAATAAATGACTGTAGTGAGGATTTCAGAAAATTTACTTTGATTCCAGCAAAACATTGGACATTACATTTGGCAAATTACAGCTGCAGGAATTGTTAGTAAGTAAGAAAATGCTTGGCAGAGGTTGTAGAGCATTTGAAGAACCTGAAACAAGCTAAAATGCACCGATAGCTTTCGCTTTTGAATTTTTTGTTCATCTTTTCCTCCCCCCTCCAACCCCTTTTGTAGATGGTTCCTAGCTATGCTGGTGTCTACCCTGTGTAGCATTGTCATCTGGTGGATTATTTGTGGCTCCCTCCTGCCCAGACTGCTATTCTGTCTAGATGGTTTAAGAACATAGTAACCATCAGGACCCCCTGAGAGAGAGCCCCTGTGTAAGTGTCCCATTCCATTTCTCTACAATAGCTCACACTTTCTGTCTACTGTGTCTCATAAATGCATGTTTCCATGTCATGTTTCTTACTGGCTTTGTTGCAAGGGAAAATTTCGCTGCTTTGGCTTTGTTATATTTTTGTATATATTACTTGGAATAACCGAGTGATTTTTACCGCTGGCTTGCAATAAAAAAGGTGCAGAGCTCTTGTAATTAGAATAATCTATAATTTTGATGGCTTTCTTCTCTGCATGCTCCTGCAAATATGCAAAACTACATAAGCAAAACTAGCTGCAGAAAGGAAAAAATACTGCTTTAAAATATATCCTATCCTTTGCACATTGCAGAGGAAGGTGTTAGCTTCAGTTTTACTTTGAAATTCATGAACTTGCAAAGGAGGTTAGTTCCCCAAAGGATGTTTTTATTCCCATGAAATGCCAGGAATTAGAATTTGTTAGAAATGTCAGTAGGTCTTTATTTTTATGAAGAGATTAAACATTATATGCCATGGCATAAAACACGACTTCTTTTTTCCTTTTTAACACAACAGAAGATGGGGCAGGTTGCAGTGTTAGGTCAAGGCTCACTGGTTTACCCAGCCAGTCTGGTTTCATCTTCTTTTGTTCTCAGTTATTTTTTTACAGAGCTTTATGAGACTACTTCAATCCCTTTATTCTGTTACTTGGATTCAGGAGCCAAGAAAAGCATTAATAACACAGCAGTTCCTGGAGTACAGTTTTCACTCTTTATCCACTCTGCCTCTGTCAGAGTGGCTGCAGTGAATTGCTGTGCCTTGCTTCCACTCTAAAGGTGCAATGTTTTCATCAAATGACAACATCTTTTGGTTAAACAGAAACTTCCTCAGCATGCAGAGCTGCCAGGAAATCCAAATGAACTCTTTGCTGGCTTCTGAGTCTCCCTGGAGCTCTTCTGTCACCACCCCCCTCAGGGTGGGATGGTTACTTAGGGTGACTGCTTGAAATCTTGGTGCTCTCAAAGAATGAAAATGGTCAGAAGGTGTTTTACATGAGTTAGTAAGAATAGGCATTCTCTCCTGGCAGAACATGAAGATTTAAGAGTTTCTCTCATCCATCCTTACCTTTGGCCTTGCAACTTTTTGTCTGCACTTTTAAGATGCATGGGACTCTTTCTGCTGAAGTAAGTGAGCTAATAACTGAAGAATGAGAACTGGGGGACTTGTGGACAGCTTAGTTATTCTATCAGCCTTGGCCGAGGTCGTCTTAACCTGTTCTTTTGGAGAAAAAAAAAAGATAAAGAAGTCACTTAAGCTTTGTTTATTTTTCTCCCTAACTCTGTCAAATAACATCCCTAGATGAGAGGCTTGTTTTCAAAGTTTTGCACCAAATGTGCGTTGTTTCTTGTCTCAGCGATCTCCAAAAAGTCAGACTTCAGATTTCTGAACTCATACTGAAAAGCTGAAGTTACAACACAGATTAAAGAGATGAAACAATCTGTGCTTTGTTTTGCTGTACTGTAAGATCAACTTCACTCAACTCTCCTTTCTTTCTTTTGCTGTTTCTGTGTTCAACTAAACACTCCCATGCTTAGGGGGAAAGAGGGAAGATTGAGGTTGGTAAATGTGATGCAAGCAACTGGGTTACTGGTGCTACTACTCCATATTCAGGATTAACAGTCATACAATGTTCCTTTAAATCGAGGAAGAGAAAACACTTGAGGTTTTCTTAAAACCTAACTCTCTTTCCATTATCCAGCTGGTGTCCCCTGTGCTTTGAGGGATCAGATTATCAATCAGGATCATGAATCTCTCTGGACTAGCCTGGCAGTCCTGTTGGCTGGAGCCCTGTAGGCTGAAGAGTATCAGTCACTTGTTGCCTGTCAGTGACTTGGAAAAGTGGTCGAGGTCTCAGTCTATTTTTATTTTCTTAAAACTCACGAGGTGATGAGGAGAAAGCAGAATTGAACCTGACAGACTTGTCAAGACTAAAATGCCCCTTGCAAGACAGGGAAGACATACAGCTGTGTAACCTGTCTTTCCCTCATCCCTTCTTAGGACACTGTAATCACTTTTAAAATATATGGTGTGGATTGATTTCTCTCCAATATGTATTTATTACCTTGCTGACTTTGTCTTGGGTTATGTGGTTTGAGCTTTTTGTGTCCTGGTGATGTACATGTGTACCACCCTTGCTCCGAGTTAAATGGTGAAAAAAAAAAAGCTGTGAATTATTTAAAAGATGCTACCACTGATCCAAACACTGTTCCATTGAAACAGGCTTTGGTTTGTTTAAAAATCAGTGTACTGGCTTAATTAATAAAGTAGTCTGCTATTTGGGGTGTGTATTTAGGATCGGAACTACCAGGTGATGTTTCCATTACAGATTAACTGGAGGTGACAAATTCTTCCAGTGTGTGTTCAGTAGATATTAGTGGATATTACAGCATCCTGTAGACTGTGTTTAGAACCCCAGGATACCATTGGCCTTCTTGGCCACAAGGGCACACTGCTGCCACATATTTCACATCGTGTTAGATGAGTACACGGGTTTAAGCCATTGTGCATTGGCTTGTTTTCTGAATTTCTGACATCTAGGAAAAAATGGGCATCTATGAGAGTAAGATTATACACATTAGGTTATGTTGCAGTAATTTTTGTTTTCTTGTATGTGTACATTACATGCATTTTATACAGAGAGACACCGAATGTATATATTTAAGGAGGAAACATGATTTTTCCGTATTTCTGTCTGCATGAGCACTAGTAAACCAGTATGTGCTGTGATTTGGTCATGCATATATTTCAGTGACTAAATATTATGGGGATAAGCTGGCTTTGTGCTTTTCCCTTCAGCCCTAGAAGCTGTGAGCAGCACAGATGAAAGGAAGGTACAATGCAGGTCTTCTTTCCCCACTGGTGTCATTTCCAGTGCTTGGTTGAAAGTGTGGGAGACCAAATTTGTTTATTATGTGTGACAACTGTGGCACTGAAAACAGAATTTTAATATTGGAACTTGTAGGAACTGTTCTACACTCACAACTACAAAGAAACTACAAAGTGAACTTTCAGGATTGGAATGTTTTCCACCTTGGGCACGCAGGGAAAACATATTTTCCTTAGAAGAATTTGTGTTGTCTACAGAAGCACGATATGATGTTGAAGGTATCTGGGTTGCAGTTCTTTCTGCCTCTTGTAGAAGTCCTTCAACCTTGAATGTCCTGTGTTTACAGCAGAATTTGCTTTGTGTTTTGGTAGTACTCCTCATTACAGTCTCATCTCAGAGGAACTCACGGTTTTGTTTGAACTTCTGCAAATCAAGTTACAATCTTTTGCAAGGCTGAAATAATAAGACAGACTTAATTCAAGCAGAACTTTAAAATACTTGAGCTTTGTGGTTATGTAGTAATTTGTTTGCTAAACAATCAAGAAGTGTGTGGTAAAAATTAGGTTGCTGATCAGTTTTGCTGCATAAAGAGTATATTTCAGATGAAATTGTATTATCTCCAATGCACATTCTAATTCTGGAATGAAACCCATATAAAACAATGAAAACGTAGGGGTTTTTTTCCATTTCTGTTGGTGAGTATGTTACATGAGTATATAAAAGTATATTTTCACCCATTTCTTTCACTTTTGCTCCAGAAGTTAACATTCTCTATTCACTTTTAGGATTCCTTGAAAATAGTTTCTTCAGGGTATTAACCAATCAAACTGTAATTTATCCAGCTTAAAGAAGTTTTTGATTTCCAGTCTAATATAATCTGCTGACACAACTGGACTCAGTGAAGCCACTAAAAATTAGAGTCTAATAGCAGGGGAATAAATACTAATAGCTCAGTTACTCTCAGCTCTGAATCTCTAAAAAGATGCATACTTTTATATTTGGAACCTGGCACAAGTAGAATGACTAGAGAATAGATGTGTGAAATGGTGCACTAAGTAGATATCCGTGGACTCCACTGACCAGTTGTCACTTTTTGCTCCCATAATATCATAATTTCACAATACAGGAGACCTGGTTTCCTTGTGAACCAGTTGTCTGGTGGTGGATAAAAACAGTTGTTTGCATTTCACAGCCTGGAATTCTTTTCTCATTAATGTAAGCAACACTAGAATTTATCTGCCTGCTTAAGAAATAGCCAATATATTGCTCAGGAGTCTTCCAGAGGAGCATTTGAGCACAATCAGCATGTAAAGCTGTTTTGAGTAGGGTGCAGTAATTCCCTCTGAGAGCAAAATGCCAACATATGCAATGATTTTCCTGTTTGAAGGGACTATCTCATGGTAAATTGCCGGAGATTTAGACTTTGATCTTCATAAATTGAATTACTTGGGTTTTTTTCTGAATTCTGTGTCAGTCTGAAAAGCAATGTTTGTGGTTTTTTGCATACTTCAGATTATATAATTTTTTTATTCCTTGCAGTAATTTAAAATGCAGTTTCTCTTTTTTTTTTTTTTTTTTGGTCTTTCCAAAACCTAACAGGAAATTCAAAACCCATAATTTAATCCATGCCTTGAAAGCCAAAAAAACCTCAACAAAACCAAAGAACAAAGGAAGCTGCTATGCTCCTAATAAAAACAAGTTGCATTACCACAATTGTAACAGGGTTGTTATAAAAAAGAAGGATGTGTTTCAGGCAGAAGAGTTTGCTTTTCAGAATGATTTGTGAAAAGCCAGCTGCTACTTGTTAACTCTATTGCAAACTGTTACACCCTCTTTTCAGTGTTTTCTAGAAAACTTCCTGGTTATATAATCTTTCTTTTTTCCTACTCTTTACAGAGTAATTCTGCAGTCCAGAGTTCAGAAAAATAAAACCTCTGAACCTAGCATTTCTGACAGTACAGACATTACTAAAAGAACTACCAGGTCTGCTGCAAGAAAAAACAATTTGAAAAGGTGAGAGTTAACCCCTCTTTACAGATCCAGTGACTGTTCTCCAGGCAAATCCTTTGAGCTGCTGTACCCATTGCTGGCAGGAGCTTTTGCCACAGTCCAGCCTCTCTCCTGGCAATGGGAAGTGAGAAACAATTGTGTGGTTTTGTGTCGTGTACCGAGAATATCTGGAAATATATTTTTTAAGTAATTCGTTTTATGTTGCTCAGTCTTTCAACTTGGAGAATTTTATGTTGTAATTCCTGATGTGAGTCAGAATTACTGAGGGTGAGGGATTTTGGTAACATGAAAACCCCTCTGAGTAAGAGATGGAAAAGTAGTTCACAGCATTAAGTCCATTATTAGTCAGTGCATGAAGTCAAGAAATTTGATGCACAACTGAAATGCAGCAGGAGTGGCAAAGCTTAAGTGTACAAAGTGCTTGTATATATACTGGCATGAGATTTTTTTTTATGGAGAGCATGGCTGATAATCTGAACTGAACCTGTTTAGTGAAGCTTAATGAAATTTTAAACTCAAACGGACTTAGGCAAGACTGAAAGTGCCTTTGGGCACAGAAGCCTCTGGCCACACCACTGCTGGGTTTCCTTTTCCTGCCCCTCTGTGGCAACTCTCCAGGTGATTATCAGAGATGAGCCTGAGAGTGCAGCTTAAAACAATATCCAGACAGCTTCCAGTGGTTAAAGTTGACTGGAATTTGTCATGTGGCTCACAGTGAAAAACTTCTGAATGGGTTTCTCAGGTGCTGAAGAGACCTACTTTTGTTGGGAAAAGGCAACTGCTTTTTATGTTCTGTGCATCCTTCACCTCCGAACCAGCTGAAGACACAAATCAAACCATCTTTTTCACCTTCCCACAGAATTGGGTTATATTTGGAATTAGAACAGAATTAGGTTATATTTATAGTAAATAGCTGATTAGAAATGAAATCTTCAGTGGTAAAGGCATTTTGGTGGGTAGAGGTGCTTAAGGGAATGCAGGTCAAGTCATTACAAAACAAATAATAGGGAGTATGGAGAGAAATGTGTGAAAACTGGATTGTAAAGGTTTCTTTACTTATTTTAACCAGACAGGAATATCACAAAAGCTAACAAAGAGGCACACACTTTAAAAATCTCATCTGCTTTTGCTTTGCTGGGTTATCACAAAGCAGCTTTTCTGCACCCTTGTGCAAATACTGAAAACTATACTAATTTATAAATATTGCTGAAAATCCCAAGTTCTTGTGGAGCTTTTTCCCCCAGGAGCTCTTCTTTCTCCTTCTTCATCCTGTTACCTTGAAGGTAACAGAAATTAGGAAAAATTCACTCTGGCAGACAATGGAGATAGTCATTAATAGTAGACTGCAGTAAATTATATTCAGAGAATTTTTAGCTGTGACTTTCTTTTAATTTATTTAACAATATGTTAAAAAATAATATCTTTTTTCCTGAAATGTATGTTTTATTTAAAATCAGGAGTATTTTTCAGGGTTTTCCTTTTGGCTGCTTGTGTTTTTTTCTCCATTTTGCCTCATTTTCACCATGTTGGTTTTGGTCCAAACAGAGTAGATGGGGTTCTGCCTGCTGTTTTTATTCTTGATGCCTCTCCCAGTTTTAATCTGCTTGCAAGGCTTTGAAGCTGTATACATGCAGATTGTGTAATTTGGACAGAGATTTTCCTGGAAAACACTTCTCCAAGTTGACCTGCATGTTGTGTGAGATGAGAATACCAATCCTAGGAGGAAACAGCATCCCTAAAATAGAGTTCATAGAAGATTTCATTTAATTTGAAACAACTCCTGTATGTGTATTGGCAGATTTATGACTCTGGAAGCAAGGATGAGGTTGATCTCAAAGTTCATAAACTACTTCCTTCATGTGTTAATGGGTTTTCTAAAACTTCCATCCGAAATATTTCATTCCATACACTCTTTCCTTTCTTCTAACTCTTGTGGTCAGAGAATTTCAGTCACTTTATACTTCCCATCCAGTAATCAAATTTGTCCTAGTTATGTCACAGTTCTAGAGTTCTTAATTATCTTGTAATCTGAGAGGGCTGATTGGGTCTGGTCCCTCCAAAGGGTATGACTGTACAATTTAATGGACTTTGAATGCAGTGCCTTATTAATTCCATAGGTGTCCCTTTATTTTTCCTGTAGCATTTGGAAAAATCTCACTCATTTTTTTAAGCATGGCTCTTTTTTTTTTCATCTAAATTTATTTTCATTTCTTGAAGTGTGTGCTGTTTGCATTAACTCACAGTGCTCAGATTCACTGACCTGTTCCTGATTAAGTGGATTGCAGGGTAGAGAATAATAATAATAATTATTATTACACAAAATTGACATCATGCCCTGACCAACATCTGTCTTTGTCACGGCCTTGTTTACTTCACTGAACTTCTGACATTGCTGTGCATCATCATTCTTTCATTTTCTTCTCTGATATATTCCAGTGGATTCTCTGATATATTCCATGTTTGTGTCCTAACAAGGTGCATCCTTCACCTCTGAACCAGCTGAATCACAGGAAGACACAAATCAAACCATCTTTTCCATCTTACCACAGGATCAGGTTATATTTAGAATTAGAACAGAGTTAGGTTATATTTATAGTAAATTTACAGTAGTATTTTTATATTTATAGTAAATAGTTGATTAGAAATGAAATCTTGAGTGGTTAAAGGCATTTTGGTGGGTAGAGGTGCTTAAGGGAATGCAGGTCAAGTCATTACAAAACAAATAATAGGAAGTATGGAGAGAAATGTGTGAAAATTGGATTGTAGAGGTTTCTTTACTTATTTTGACCAGACAGGAATATCACAAAAGCTAACAAAGAGGCACACACTTTAAAAATCTCATATGCTTTTGCTTTGCTGGGTTATCACAAAGCAGCTTTTCTGCACCCTTGTGCAAATACTGAAAACTACCTGCAGCATTTCAGAGCTTTTCTATTATTTATGTAATCTAAATCTAGCTTTAAAAAAATATTAATGTTCCTTTACTATGCTGTCTACTTTTCCTACGGTTGATACCTCAGAGGGAGAGAAAGAAAACTGGAAATTATGGTAACTGTGAATCCTCTGTTGCATTCCTGTGTGGAACAGAACTGTCTGTGATCAGACCAGCCTGTGCTTTCTTGACAACCAGTATTGCTGTATTTTCAAATGCAGTGACTTTTACCTTCTGTTTCTTTCTTCCAAGTATCATTTGCTCATTTTACCCTGCCAGAAGTGTTTGCATGAAATACACACTGAGTAATATTTAACTTTTTTCCCCTCTAACATGTTTTATTTCAGCAGCCAACCCGTCACAAGGACTAGACCAGTCTGGCGTTGAAATTCAAATAAAGCCACGAGTGTTGAAGAGGATATTCAGGAGTGAAGGGGATATGACTAGAGGGAACTTGTTGCAATTCAAGGAAGATGACTTTGGCTTCATTTTTTTCAGCAAAAAAAAAATGAAATAGAAGAATCTCTTCTGTACCTGCAGAATAAAATGAACTGTGAACGTGCTTGGTAGACATTTTCCTACCGTGCTAACACTTCCTCAAAAGCAAAACCAACAAAATCAGTGTACATTCAGACTCAGGTGTAAATACTTAAGCTCTCTATTATAAAGAGGGCTTGCTAATATGTATGAAGCATGTGTACAAATTGTGATGGCAATCACTTAGCTGCTGACCAGCAGAAACAAAAAGATGGTGGGAGCTTTTAAACATATAAAATCGTGTTGTCCCTTCAGACTGGGCTGAAGTCTTCACTTGAGACTGAGAATCAACAACAAAAGCTTTATTTCTTATTCTAGTCTTGGTACTCTCCTGTGTTCATCGGCTGTTTTCTTATTTTGTATGAAGTTTTTTATGAAGCTGCAGTATTGAGTACACTAAGTAACTATTGTCCACCAAAGAGTGCTTTATTTTCAGAGGTTGTGTGGTTTGTTTAGTTAGGAAAAAACTAATTATAAGTGATTAACTTGTTTTTAATAGTGACAGGTTTTTAGTTGTTCACAACCAATGGCTCTTTTAAACCACTTTACAATTGCTTTAAATCTGGTATGACTTCAAAGGGGAGGAAAAACAGTTTACCATTTAAAGCAGTGCTGAGGTACTGAAATGTCATTACTGTTCCCTTTCCTATCATCAAGTCTTTTAGGTGAAGCTTTAGGTTACCATATACAAAAGGTAAGAACTTCCCCCAGATTTTATTGGTATGCTTGATAACATTGTTTTTTATCTTAGAGGCACTTAGTGAGTGCAGCACACAAAAAAAGGGAAAGTAAGCTTGCCATACAGCTGAGCTTGCTGGTGCAACTCAGGGGCAGGCAGAATATTTGACACCTAATTAACTTTAAGAACATCTTACCTCTGTTAAAAAGCAGTGTGATTTTTAGGGGATTCTATTTGAGACTGACATTGTCATCCACTACAAGACTGTCTTCAAACACTGGCAGTGGTTTTTTTTCCTACTTCTTTTCACATTATGGAATCTCAAAGCTGATGTACCCTTGTCTGCCAACTGATGTTTGTAGCTGCATATCCCTCAGATGAGGACTGTTACCACATAGCCTTAAATATGATTCAGTTATCTGTTGATTTAGTGACTCTTACAGTGGAAAGCAGAAGAAATGGAGAGATCTGAAATGTCAGTAATGGAATAACTGAATTTTTTTAAAGATAAAGATTACCTCTGCAAGAGGGAGAATTTTATTTTTGTGAATGTAAATGTTCAATGACTAGTTTCAATCTGCATCCTTTTAAATAAAAATTGATCTGTTAGGGTGGTGATTTTTAAATGTCAAGATTAACAGTCACACAGTGGCTTGAAAATATTTTGTAGCAAGAGCATCATGAGCTGGAGAGGAAACAGGATGTGAAGTGTGAGTAAGCTTTCAGGTAGCATCCATGAGTTTGGATAGTCAGAATGTGCAAATATGGATACAAAGAAAACTAAAAAAGTCCAGTGCAAAGTAAAGGACCATTGAGGCTCAGACTGCAAATATTTTTTTTGTTTTCTCTTAAACTCCACAGTCGCCACCATTTTCTTCTGGGTGAAAAAGCACCTAAAAGAGAGGGACTGATCTCATCCTGGTGAGGGAATTAAAATCTCTTGGGGTTTGGAGGTCTGTGGTTTGGGTTTTTTGTTGGTTGTTTGGGGTTTTTTAGCAAGCCACTTGCCCAAAAGCTGAAGTACAGGTGGCCAGAATAGCAGGTGCATTGTGCAAATATGAATCTTTATTTTTGGAGAACATTCTTATCTCGGAAGGCAGAAGGGATGAAACTGCTGAGGTGAGAGTCAAAACGAGAGATTTAGTGATATTTACTGTGTTTGGCTTTGCCTTTCCCTCAGCTGAGCTGCTCCTAGCATCCTTGTTTTCAACCTAAAAATATTTGGTTAAAATATTCTGGTCTATTTCTCACCCCTTCCAAATTCCAAAACAGAATTTGCCTGGTTTAAAGCAGCCAGCAGAGTCTTTAGCACTTCTGCCTTCATCAGAAATAAATGTGTGTAACACAAGTGAGCAAAACACACACAACAGCAACTCCAGCTAGACCAGAACTGCATTTTTGGCATCAGTGTGTTTGAGGACACCCCTTCCAGCACCCAGGGTCTCAGAGAAGATAAATGTCAGAGACACATAAATGTCAAAGGGATTTTATGTTTGAACTTTCCAAACAGCCTTATATGGAAAACGAACTCATTACCTCATTGTAGCCCATCTGATTGTACTGCTTAGTTTGTTGGTAGGAATTTTTAGTACTTTTGCCTCAAGATTTTATTATAACATACCAAAGTTGTCTTAGGTACAGGGCATGGGTGAGAGAGTCCTCGGTTTCTCAATCTTTTTTTGAAGTATTATGTGCCAAAATGGAAGGTGGTGGCAGATGCATCACCACTGTACCAGGGAAGTTATTTCTGCTGTCATCAGTCAGGAGTTTCTCCTCTGAAATTCTTTCCCCTTTCAAATACAGATGAATTCCACATTGATCTCCTGCTCCAAAGCTGTAATATCTTGGGTTAAGTTGCTCCTTTCCATTACAGCATCAATACCTGAACTCAGATGTTAACCCAGACCTTGTCTTTTTGCCCCAGTGCGACAGCAGAGGAAGTGCTGCTGATTTAACACAGCGACAAAAAAAGATTTGTAGAGACTCGTATTAAAATTGGGGGGAAAAAAAATGATAGATGTGATGTTCACCAGTTTGTTGCACTGCAGTTTTTATATTAATCAGTGGCAGTCTGTTTTGTGTAAACTCATGTAGGCTATCAAGGTCTAAAATTTCGTGACTAATCAGTACTGTGCATCCTGATTATTTTTAAATTGTATATTTCTAATCATATTTTTTTAACTTGGAGTGACAGAATGGAAGTTTATTTTGCTGAAGGTATTTTTAAGACAAAGGTTCGTATTATCTTGTAATATTAATTAGTTCAATATGCATTTGTGTCTCATTTGAAAATACTGCATTTGATTTTATACAAAATACTGAATAGTGAGAACTGTAAACACGAATTCTGTCAAATTAAAAATAATCACAAGTTTGGTTTCTGTTTTTTTTCCGGCATTCTAAAAAAAAAAAACCATCACAAAACCATTGTATCTGTACTGGACTGACTCATATGTGCACTGAAAAATAATACAACACTCTCAGTTACCTGAAAACCTTTAGTTAAAGCACAGATTCTTAAAACACATACTTTTTAAATTTCAAAAAATAGAGAATCTCTGGCTCTGCATTTCAGGGCACTCACTTTGGAAAACAGGAGTTGTATTTTGAATTGTTGGGATACTGTTGCATAGTAAAAAAAGCATGGTAAGGTGGAACAATGGGGTCCCTGTTATTTTTTTCCTTCTCCTATGATCATATAGTACTAATTGTTGGAAACAAGCTTTATCTTAAATACTGCCTGCTTTGATACCTACCATCAAAGTGATGGTTTCTCAAAAGTAAAAACTAAATTTTCAGGAACACTTCTTGTTTTTGTGTAAGTGTTGGTGGTGGTGTAGTTCAGTCTTCAAAAAAAACCCAAAACAACCAAATACAACAGCAAAAAAATTATTGATCAACTAACTGCAATATGTTAGAGATGTTTGCTTTTTTCTCATACTTCCGTTTTTGGGCTTTGTTTCACATGGATGTGACTGAACATGACACCCTCCATCCATGGGATAGATCTCCTGATATATATACTTGACAAGAACCTTGTCAAGTGCTGGACTGTGACAAAGGGGTTGGAGGAAAGCACCTTGGAATTCTGTCCTTTAAACAGACCTGGTCCACATTCTCCCTGTTAAACTCTGTCCCAGTCCACAAAGCTCTGAAAACCAGCACAAAATCCACAAGTAACAGAAATACAACCAAACCACTAACGAGTGCAGAATTCCTGGATTCTAGTACGTCAACTTATTATTCTCTTCTGGCAAGAATTAAAAAAAAAACAAAACACCAAACCTGTACCTTGCTGGTATTTTTACCTTTTGGCAAAGTTATCCTGCTAATTCAGTCACATTATGCAAAATTCAGTATCTTTCATTCAAATGGTAACTGCTGTACAAATAAAGACAGAGGAACTACTTCTGCTGAAGGCAGACAAGAACTTAGTGAGTCCTATTAACTGGCTGTGAAACATTGCAGAGGCAACAAACAGAACACAGATTGTGAATTTTCACACTACTTACCCTAAACAGGAAGAGCAAAAACTTTTTTTTTCAATTTATTAAGGGCTAGTTTGCCTCAAACGTAACAAACACTGTCCTTAAATGTGATGCAGCACCTAAAGCTGCTCTGGAGACACAGCTCTCTGTCTGCAACAGTCATTGTATCACATCTTCAGAAGGCATTTGTTTGCAGACAAATAAAATCCTGCTGAAGATAGAATAATGTATTTCAAATTAAATTCTGAATAGCAATCAAAGTGTAAGTCAGTTGTTACTTCTTCCAAAGACTGAAGGCTCCCCCTTCAAGCACAAACTGTTCTTGTTCAGTGTGTTACTGAAAGAGAAAAAGCTCTAATTTCATGCCTGTTATTCAGTGACTGAAATGTACTTTTTGTGCAAAGGAACCATGTTTCACATTCAGTTGTTGATTCAACAACGAGTCAATGCTGCATTACTTTCAAGACTATATATATGTGTGTGTGTATATACATACAGTTATTTTTTTATGTGAGTGTGTATGTGCCAGTGACAGCTCTGAAAGAAAGAAAAAACAACTCAAAAATTGTGCAAAAATAATCTTAATTACATGAATGTACAAGGGCTATGGATTTTGGGGTTGGGCCCAAAGGATGCTCATACCCTAAGGCCTGTTTTCATAAAAAACAAGTTTAACCAGAGCTGAAAGCTTATTTCCCATGGGCTCAAATTGCCCAGTATTTATCAACTCAGGTCTTTATACTTCTGAGTATTTTTCTTCATTCTTTGATACTCTTCAGTACAGACATTCCTCTCCTCTTTCCCCTAAAGGCACTTTCATATTAATATATTCTTGTCAATCCTAAACCACGGTACCACAGTGATCAACTACACTAACACTCATTCTCACCAAGTTTGGGGTTTTAGTTTTGGTTGGTTTGTTCTGTTTTTTTAATTAAACAGACTTGTAACAAGCCTTTTTTTTTTTTCTTTAACCAGGTGTTTTTTTAACACTCTGCTGACCAAAAGTTGATTACATAGACACACTTTGACAAGTCCTTTAAAGCATTCCCCACAGAACCTGTTTGTCATTCTGTTTGGAAAAGCAGATCAGAGTTTGGAGGGACAAACAGTAACTTTGCAGCAGCAGGAAACAGACTGAAATATAAAACAACTCTTTCAGCCTTAACAGAGAACAGTCAGAGCTGAACTAGATTACAGCAGCAGCACAGCAAAGTTTCAAATTTTTGGTAGAAAAAGAGAGGGTTACTGTTAAGGATTTCACTGCTTTCCTTAGCAAAAAGTGGTATTGGGAGAAGAGGAGGCTACACCTCCAACACATGATGGAAAACAGAAGCAAGCCTTGCAAAGAAGCTCTCCACATCTACACATACACTCACTCCTGCAAGTAAAAGTGTAAATAAAAATTCAGAGACATTTTCCTGTCCAATGGGAAAAGCGGAACAGGGAAGGAAGAAAAAGCAAAGATATTCCACGACCCCCCCAGACAAAAATCACTTCCATTCCACAATGATTAAATTGCCATTTTTGGCAGAAAAACACACTGCCTGTGAAAAGGGCAGCAGCAGTTAATTTTTAAACTGCACTGATTTCATGAGGCAACTTGTTCCTACAAGGTGAAGGAGTCATGTAAATTATTTAATCCAGTTCAATCACTCAAATAGCAGCAGCATGGATTCCTCTTACACCAGCACTTGGTTTGCTCTTGCACAGTCTTCCTACTACAAGTTGCCAGAGTATCTCTCTGCTACTAAAATGAACTCCCTGTGGAATATGAAATCTCATGTTACAGCAGATTGTCATGTAAGTAATTTAACAAATGCAAGAAAAAAATATCCTTTGGGCTGAACTACTCTGCAGACCCTCTGTTTGGGGCATATAGAAAAGAGTCTGTAGTCTTTCTAGGATGAGTTTCTCCTACTTGTGCAAAGCCTTATCAGTGAGATAAATCTTTTAAGTTGCTGAGTACTCCTGGAGCTTATTCCAAAGCAAAACATTTTTTTCCTTCTAAGTCTCACCCACTATTTGCTCTCTAAGTAGACTGCTTAGAAGTGAGGCAGAGAACTGGAAAAAATGAATGGTTTATATTATTTTGCTTTCCCAGTAAATTGAAAGAATGAGTTCAAGGCATTTGAAGACCCCTGTGAGCTACTTCCAAATGTCCAGTGTGCTCATCCACTCATTTTTTTCTGTCATCGCTTCTGGCACCGTTTCCTTGTTTCTCTCAGAGCTCCCAGGATGGTTCTGAGCATCCCCTTGGACAGGAAACAAGTGAGGCTCAGGTGAGGGAGTCTGTTAAAGCTGCAATGAAGGAACATCCCATTCATCCCCAATGTCACAAACTTCTTGGTGA